GCCCCTCAGAAACAGCAGAAGAGCCGCGATGGGCGTCAGATCTGGCAGCCCCCACGCACGCCGCCACAGATCCGCCGGAGGAGAAGGAGGGCCGCCGGATCTGCACCAAACACACCAAGAAACAGCAACCAAAAAAAGCACACAAACATATAAACAGACAAGCTAACAAACAAACAAACCAAGAAAAAACCCAGACAAAACAGAAAAACAAAAGCCACCGGAGGGGCTACAAAACCGACAGACCTCAGAGGTCATCGGAGCAGGGAGCACGCCAACTCCATCAGGCTTGACCAGCCGGAGAACTCGGCGGCTCAAGCAGCAAAACTCGGAAGCCCAAGGCTTCCGAGCACAAAACAACGGGAGGCCGGAGAAGACTTAACATTAATATTAAAGGTGCATTTTACAAACAAACTTATAACAATCGATCACGAGGTTCAATTGCAACACAACATTCCCCCGTGTCTCGCGAACGCCGTTTCTTTCGACGAAAACCGCCCGTTCATCGAGCTGACCCGGTCAAAGAATTGTGGTGTGTTAATCAAGTCGAAAACGACTTTTTACCACCCGATAAATAAAGATGTCGCTTTTTTGTGGTATGGCCCTGTGCTAATCATTCGTTATCATTACAGAATACCGTCCTATTCACAGAGCTTTCTCGTTGTCAATAATAATGTGCGGAGGTAATAATTATAATATTATATAATATTATAAAATTATAATTTTAAATAATTTTAAATAAAAATGATATGATGTTAAATAAATAAATAAATATAATATTATAAATAAAATTTTAAATAAAAAAATTAATTATACAATAAATATATTATATTATAAAATTATATTATTATATAATATTATAATTGTAATATTTTTTTAATTAAAATTATGCAATTCAATGTAAACTAAATTATATAACACTTGATAAATAAGTTTTTTTTACTAATTATTTGTTAGTTTGAGTGAAAAGAATTTGATTTTTTTAAAATAAAATTTTAAATTTGAGTTTACTGAATAAAAAAAAAAAGCATTTAAAAAAATTTTCTCTTATGAGATCCGATATAATTCAATTTTAAATTAATTGAAATCTAATGTAATTATTGAATATCGAAATTAATATTAAAAAAAACTTTTTTATATATTGTTATATGTTATTTAATAATTAATGTTTTTATTTATATGAAACTTATAAGATTATATACATTTACTTATAATGTAATTATTGAATATCGAAATTAATATTAAA